CCATATACCATAACCGACGTGTGAAAATGTATGGTCTGTATTGTAAAAATTCATATCTTGAATCCGGCCATATAGTGTTGTTAGATGCTTTTACAGCATAATACGTAAAGGTGTGTTACAACTTACAATAGCTTTATGTGGATATGTCAAAAATAACCAAAGTTCTTCAGGAACATGATTAAATAGAATCGCGGAAAAAAAGCCCACGGAAAAAAAGCCCAAAGAAAAAAAGCCCAGAAAAAAAACCTAACGGAAAAAAAGCCCAAAAAAATAAACACACCAAGGAAAAAAACCCACGGAAAAAAATCCCTGAAAAAAGCCCAGAAATAGAAATAGAAATGTGAACACATGTATACTCTACTCTTAATGACCTAATTAGCAATTACCATATACCTATAACAAAATATAATAATATATTACCCTCCTATATAAACTATAATCTAGAGCAACGAAAAAGAAGATCTTATAATATTTTCAATGGAACGAAGAATAACAATGATTATTTATATTATTATATTTATACATACTAATATTATAGGTACATTTAAATTTTTCAATAGTTATATATGATTAATAGTTAAGTATAAGTCATATTCGGACATATAATTATTTATATTTGAAATTTTAAGTTTTTCTTTTATAAAATTACCTATATTGGCCTCTTATACAATTAACAATTATATTTTACTAGTTATTATTATTTATGATTATTAACTGTTATAGTAGTATGTAGTATTATTTTTTTCATTATAATATATAATATATTATTATATTTTGTTATAGCATATAGATACATGGTAATTAGTAATGGTAAAAATTGAATACATATTATATAATATATAGATATTTTTGAATTAATAATTATGAGTACAGTATAATACATGTGTTCACATTCATATTTTTATTTCTGGGGTTTTTTTCCTTGGGCTTTTTTTCCGCCTACCGATTAAATAATACCAACATTGTCATTGCCGGTGCAAATTACGCACGTGCTGGCGTACCGGTCTGTAATATTGCAATACTATTTACCTACTCATATTTTTATTATTCATATATACATTTAGATAAAACCAGTCATAGAGTACAAAAAATTCAATATTTTAAAATATGTCAATAATATAAGTTTATATTTATAATTAGTCAATTATACTTATTGGTTATTACTACAGAAAAATTAAAATATTTCGAGTAACGGAGTGCTTCATTGTATATAAAATACGTTGACCATGCATGTCGAAACATGCACATACGTGAACAAAAACAAGTTGACGGCGCGCTTTAGCCGCGGTGGTGGTGTTTATATTCTTGTGACAATCGTCATTACTTTATTACACATCACTTAAGAGTTTAAACAGTACCTGGTGTTAATATCATACAATTCTAATTAAAATTTACTATGGGTAGAACACCAAAAGTTTCATCTGAAGTGACTGCAGCTACCATTAAAAAATATCAAAATCAGTTGATACGTGAGGATGGAAAAAGTAAGTACCTATTTATACCTTATCGTTTGTATTCAAATTTACATTTGATTTCTTCGAGTTTAATAATTATATTTTTATATTAGAGTAGTTTTAAACAAGTACACGACTCATATCCCGTGTTTGGGTGGACTATACTATTATAAAAATTAAGTTCTTTATATTTGCCTTATTTTATTACTAACATAATATATAATTATTTTGTTTAAATACTAGGACTTAATGCTCTATACATTTATAAATTATATTTCAGAAAAACTCTATTAAGTTTGTATAGGTTTAAGCACAATTTACCTATGGTTGGTCACTCATACAATACCCGTTATAGGGGAAATATTATTAATGTGTGTGTTCCTAGTTTTAAAAAATAACTAGGTCTAAAAGCTATAAATCTGTGGCTACTCAATTAATGCTATAGGGAACTCAGTATAATTGTATATAATTTTAAAAATATTATATAATATAATTTAAAAAATATTATATAATATAATTTAAAAAATATTATATAATATAATTCGGTGGCTTGGGTCAAGAAAGGCCAATGTTATTTTTGGTCATTTTCCAACAAATTACATTGTTGGCCTTTTTAAAATTGTAAATGTTAAAAACGTTTCACATTTTTATTGTTTCTTTTTTTCTTTTTGTGCCCATTATAAATAAACATCATATTATTTAGTCTTATTGAGTATTAGGATTTAAATTTCAATACTCAAGTAATTGATTGACATTGGACATTGGTCCTAGAAAATCATTAATCAAAAATATAATTGAGGACATTAGTCTAAAAAACAAATATTTTAAATTTGATCTGTCTTTAAAACAATTTTTAAAGTAAGTATACTAAATTTATCACATTTAGATTAAATACATTTTTATTACATGTACAATATTCCTAATTTTGTTAATTAAATTAATAGTTAGGTAATAAGTCCTAAAGCATAAATAATTTGTAATTTATAAACAAAATTAATTGAATTCTATCACAAAAAAATTAATATTGAAATACCAATTCTTTTACTAAAACCTAGTTATTTTCTAAAAATTATTTTTATTACCTAGGTAACTTTACTTTCAGTGATAACATGCAAATTACAATAGGTACCTCTATAACCAATTTGTTGCACTGTGCCACTGTGCCGCTGTGCCGGACCCATTCATTGTATTATGCAAATAAAAAATATCATTAGATTAATCATATTCTTCATTATCTTTTTCCCTGATGTTTTCAAAAGTAGATCTAAAATTATTTATTAAGGTTTCATAGAATAGCACTGTAGCTTGGTGTAATATGGTAAAGAGTTATAAATCTATAAGTTTTTCCTTACTTATAATAGCTTTATATTCATTGGCTGAGATTTTATCATTCTAATATTTATATTTTGTTTGTTATAACCGATTCTAAAAACTCTACATTTTTCAACTTAAAATATGTCTGAATAATGTAATGCAAAAATGCAAATTATAAAATTGGTTTTTCATAGTGTTTTTTTTGATATGTTATATTGTTATATTCTTTGTTTAATTTAATTTTGTTTAGATATTGATATATTTTTTAATTATATTTATTCGTATTATTTTACTTTTAATACTGTGCTTAACTCAAACTTATGTGCTAAAATAAGTATTATGCTTAAATGGAAGTTGCATAAATTTATCATGTAGTTTTATCTTATTTTAAATTTTAAATTGTGTATTGATTTTGCTAAATAAATTATTATTATTATTATTATTTTTATTATTATTATTATTATTATTATTTTTATTATTATTATTATTATTATAATTATTATTGTTATTATTATTATTATTATTATTAATTACCTACCGTAATTAGATATAGTTGGCGTAAACCATGAGGTATGGAAAAAAATTGCTAATGAACTTAGTACAGATGGTGCTACTATTACTCCAGCTTCTATAAGAAACCATGTGGCTAAAAGAAAGTCGGAATATTTAGGAAAGGCAAATTCTACACCATTAGCTGATGATCATAATCAAAATGAATGTGGTTAGTAAATAAAATTAATTATAAAAATCATTAGGTACATTATTTGGGTACCTACCTAGTTTTGAGTGTTTAGTAGGTTATCATAAATTACAGATGATTACTCAATGGTTAGCTAATAATATAGAGCTACTTTTAGAACATACTATATAGCAAAACAATTTCTCTAATTTTTTGTTTCAATTTATAATTTGATAAATTACTTGAATGTTGACATTTTTAAAAGGACAATACAATTAATTAAATTTTATGGTGAATGAATAAAAACAAAGTTTTTTTTATACTAATACAACTAATAGGTACATTGTACATAACTAGCAGAGTTGGTCATTATTTGAATAAAACATTATACGACTAAAATATTATTCTTCATTTGTTTATTTTTAATTTTTAATTTATTTATTTATCGTTAATGATTATTCATTATTCTAGACTATGTATTCCTATTAAAACACATTCATAATTTGGTTATTAATTATTCATTCTACTATAAAATTGTATTTAATTTCAATGTTTTGTATATGACGTTTTGAAGTAATAATTTGATATTATTCACCAATCCTTCTAATATTAAATTATTTGCATTATTATATAAAAATTCAATATTATTTATTAATTAAAGTATTTTGTTTTAGTTATTTATCTTTTTATTGAAACTAAAATTACTTAAAATTAAATATCATTATTAATTAAAAAAATAATCAGTTATTCATAATTTTATTTTGCATTCATTAATCATTATATTGAATCGTTTTTGACCAACTCTGTGACAAATTCACCAATGCACCTACGTATAACATTGTTACTATTGTACCATATTTTATAATTTTATAAGACTGGCAATACAACCAAATTCACAATATTCCCATTATTGCAGAAAAGGGAAGTGTAAATTATTTTGACGAAAGCTCAAGTGATGAATATTTCAAGACTGAAAAAGAAAAATTAACATTTGACATTACTTTTTCTGTCGAAGAGTGGAGGTTGATACAACCTAGAGAACAAGTATACATAGAAAAGCGTGGAGCTAGGATGTACAACATACTAGCACCATTTGAATGGAGTAATACCGTGCAAGAGCACTTTTTTTTACACACAAGACTTCCGTGTTGTTTGACTTTTAAAAAAGGAAAAGTCAGTGTATCTGGAATCGTTTATGTTTCACTATCTGGTCGTTGTTCTGACTGTGGATCAACATTTAATGGCAATGTTGATTCTATTCCTGCTTCTGATACCAGGTAGGTACTAAATTTATGTTATTATATAAAATATTTACTAAAGTAAAGTGATTTTCAAGTTTTATTATTGCATAAATGCAGTACCTGTATAAGTGTAGTTCTCTAAAACATGTTCAAATTTATAACTCTATTTATTTTGTTTTTTCCCCATTTACATACGTCATACCTACATCATATTTAGTGTGCAAGCAAAATAAGAGGTTTAAAAATACTGATGTTTATTTATTAATTTCCTTTCATAACTTCATTTTGGTTTTGTTAACTTATAGGGTTGTGATGAATTGTGTTTACTATGGTGATTTTCGTGTAAAACATTTTAATAAACGGAGATTAATTGGATCTCAAAAAACGCGAGCTTTAGATGCCATGTGTACACATAAAGTTGACCCATCTGTATTTGTGCGAAATGAAGCCAATACTCTAATGAAAGAAGGTAAATTTAATATATATTTTAATTTAATTAAATAATTTGTCATTTAATTATTATTAATATAATTATAATTTACATAAAGTGGCAATTGGCAATAACAGTATAATATAGAATCTATATCTGACTAATAATTTTGTATAATATGGTACAATATGATATAATAATAATTTGGTTCACCACTATAGGTGTGAGAGAATAATTTTTTTTTGCATGGTTAAATATAATAAAGAGAGTAAGAATGAATTTATTAAACATAATTTAGTTGGCACAGGGTTTGTGCACAAAGTAGGTATAATTATTTTTTGGGTTTTGGAGAATAATAGTTCTTTCATCATTTGGCAATTTCAAAGTGAATAGTTTTGAAACATCATAGTGACTGGTGAGTAGTTTTTTTTTTCTTAAAGGATAGGTAATAATTTTTTTTTGAGGAAATGTTCCATCATCATAAGAGTTGGGCAGTCACAAGACCTAAATAATAATATATTTAAGTTGTACACTTTTACAAAGTGTAATTTTTCGGGGAAATAATAATTATGTCATCGACAAATCAAGGCGCAAAATTATTTAATAATGGTGACATTACTAGGTAGAAAAGAAACTAGATGATAATGCAACAATGGAAAAAAAAAACCGGTAATTTTATATACATATAGTTATGAATATATATGAACAAAATATATACATAGGGAGAGTATAAGATCAGGTGATAAATATTTTGAGTATGCGGTGACTGGAGTGGTTAAGGAAGTACGAGGTGGTGTGACGGGGATAACGAAAGGAAGCTGGTTGTGAACTCTAAAGCAGCCTTTTTAGAGGTGGTCTGGAGCATCAGGGGACCGTTCAAAATGCAAAGCAATGAATCTTGGGTCTAAGAAGTGAAAAATAATAAATGTAGGATTTAATTGAATTTATAATATTAAAATATTCTTTTTTTATTCATTACTGTCATGCTATTTCTAGTGTTATTATATTGTTTATGTTTATAATTGCTATTACTTACTCTTTTTATGTTAGTTGATTTATTATTATAAGAACTATTATTCTTGAGTTTTAATTTAAAATGCATATTTTGTACAAACATAAACAAAAAAAAAAACTGTTTAATTTGTATATTTTCTTAAGGTGACGCAGTCCCAGCTCAAATTCCTAATATAGGAACATTAAGAGTTGCTAAATATAGAGCAATTGCAGCTACACGTTATGATTCTAATCCTATAATTGCAATAAGTTTAATGAAGCAAAGTCAAAAGTTTGATAATTCAATTCACGATATTGGTTTTGACAAATTCTTTGTACACTTTTGGAGTCACTTGCAATTACAAATATATAGAAATAATTATAAAAAAGAACAAGTTCCTACTATATCGTTTGATGCAACCGGTGGTTGTTTCCAAAAATTGAAAAGAAATGAATTTAAATTAAGTGGATCTATATTTTTATATGAAGGTGTTATGTGTATAAATGATCAAAGTTTTACCGTTATGTCCATGCTTTCAGAGCAACATGACAATATTTCAATTTCTTCTTGGTTAAGAAGATGGTTACGCTGTGGTATAGATCCTCCAAAAATTGCAATTTGTGATCAATCATTAGCTTTAATGTCTGCGATAGTGCAAGCATTTACCAAATATTCATCTCTTGAGCAATATATTGATGCTTGCTTTTCTCTGATTATATTAAAAGAAAAAGTACAAGTCCCTAAATGTTTTTTAAGAAACGATGTAAATCATTTTATTCATCTTGTGTCTCAATGGAGTGTAGTGAAGAATTCACGATATCCAAACACCAAAGATTTTATAACACGAGGTATGGGTTTGCTAGTAATGTGTACTTCTGTTAACAAAGCTGAAAAAATTTTGGAAGCCATATTCACAATAATTCTCAGTAGGGATGATGGAGATATATTACACGTAAATCAAAGTAACAATCACAATGAACGAAAATTGACTCCTTGTGCTAAAAGCAAGAAATATTTAAAGGATTTAATAAAAAGTTCAGATAATTTAGACAACTTGGAATTTGAACAGGATGATTCAAATAATCCCAATGCTGTTACAAAAGTCTATCCTTATGAGGATGCAAATATTTGTGGTGAAGGTCCCAATAATTTTTTCAAAGGTTGGGCTCAAGCTATTGCTAATAGAGTCAAAATTGAAATTATGGGAATCGAAGGGTCAACAGACAATGCTCAATTTTTGCCGGAACTTGAAATAGTTATAGTAAAAACAATGAAACTTTTTCCAATCTGGTCTGGAATTATGATAAATATATTTGGGTACGGAACAGAAACGGCCTCTTCAAGCAGAATAGAGAGTAATTTTAACCACATCAAAAATCGTGTGTTTAAAAATGAAAATATGCCATTAAGAGTTGATATGTTTTTAGAAAAATTACTCTACTATTATAAAGGGGATCATTTATTATTACAAAGTCAAGACCAATATCAAACACATTTTGAATGTACTGATGAAAATAATTGTACAAAGCGTGAAATAAATAATAAATTTAAAGGAGACAACTTTAAATTGAGTAAAGACGTCATAATCAAAAATTTAAAAAATAAAAGTACAAAATATTGTGAAATAAGTGATGATGATAACTTAGAATCTGATGACGATGAATACCTTCGAGATGATGACACAAATCAATATACACATGAGGAAGAAACTGAATATGAGAGTAAAGAAAACATTAATTATGATGACTTAAGAACCAAAGTCGAAGAACATCATAGTGATTGTGAATCAAATAAATATACTATACAGAAGAAAGAGACCGTAAGTGAAAATGAAGATAAGAAGAATTGTGATGATTTAAACGCTGAAGAGTATGATAAAAATGATGATAGAAACAATGAATGTAGACAGGAGAAAGAAATAAACGATGAATATAATGGAAACAGTAGGTATGGATTTTTAATGCTTAATGAAAATGAATACATGGTAACTACATTGAATGAAAAAGACCAACAAAATAATTTGAGCAAAATTAATCAAAGAAAAACACATAATACATTATCTAAACACCTAAATGAAACAACTATAAAATCATTGCTATGCGTTCCTTGTACAAATGGAGATCTACCTAGTGGTCTTCATAAATGTAGTAGTTGCAAAAAACCAATTCACTTATTTGGATGTTCAATTGCAGCACCTGGTACAAAAGAAGGATGCGGGGAAGAAAGAATATGTCTTAATTGTGATAATACAGCGTCTGAAGAAGCAGAAAATGAAGCATTTGAGAATTGGAATCGAAAAGGTAAAAACCAAAATATTAAATCAAAAATAACACGTTCTGCTCGTTCTTATTTAGTTCATCAACCAGGTTTTGATCTAGTTGATTTGAATAAAACAAGATCTTCAACTTTGATTTGTATATTGAAAAATGGAAATAATCTGAAAAATAGGCCAATTTCAGTTCCTGGATCTGAAAAGATGATATTAAACAATACATGCACAGTCGATTCACTAATTTCCGTTTTAGCTTCATCAGCTGCGGATAGCATAATTTTCAGAAATTATTTAGAAGAAATAGAGCCTTCAAATTTGACTGCCAAACTTGCCTTACAATTAATTATTCAAAAAAACACCAAACAGATTTATCACACTCGATTATCATTGCTGCTACAGTTTTTCGGTGACAAAACTGAAGCATTAGTTGGTGGTATAAAATGTTTAGATATTACAGACACGGTTGGATCAATGGTTGACAAGATTTTAAAAGAAATGCCATCATTCACAACGTACAGTAAATGTCAAAATAATTTTTGTCCTGTTCCACATTTACAGCACAATTCAGCTAAATTGTCACTTAACGTTTATAACGAAAAAGTTTGTGTTCAGACTGAAGTAGAGAAATATATTAAAAATACCAAGGCGTTATGTGAATATTGTGGAAATGAAAGGCATTCAGTTATCAAAACAACATCACACATTATAGTTGAACTAAACTCAATTCCTAAAAGTAATATTAATATTATAAGTACAAATAAAAAATTTAAAACTTATATTAATTTTTTTCAATGGTTATGTTTTAGGTTTAGAAAATTCAACAAGCATGACAGACATAGAAAGTGTTCCACTAGACTTGATACATCAAAATTTTGCAAAATCATATAAATCAGATCTTCAGTCAATTGAAAAACATATAATATTAAAAGAAAAAATGTATAAGTTAAGAGGTGTTATCAATTTTCATGGCAGTGAGAGAAGTGGTCTTCGATGTGCAGTTGGACACTATACTGCATGTTCCTATAGGTCAAATAAGAAATGGGAATTATATGATGACACAAAAATGAAAATCCAAAACATAAATCCTTCAAAAAAACTAGATATTGAAATTCTAATTTTCACAATTTAATACAATAAACTATTTTATCTTAATTTATTTTTTACTTAATCAGAAGGTACAAACTTTATTTTTTATTTTATATTGTTTTTTATATTTTAACAGTGGTACAGTGTAGAGCACTATTTATTATGATTTTTTGTTTCATTTAGACAACCTACAAATAAAGGTATTTATTATATAGTTTGGTTAATACTTGATTTTAGAACAAAAGTTATCCTAATATCCTATAGTAGTTACTATATCCTATAACATCTTGTAAAAATAACAACTAAGGTAGGTATCAGAGTAAAACAAAAACTATATTAAAAAATGTATTTTTAATTTAAAGCAAAGCAAGGAATTATATTGTTTTTAATACAAAATAGAATATGTTGTTTTTATTAGATACATTTTTAGCACAAAAATTGAACTTTTAATGAAGTGAATAAGATATATTATGTCTTTTTAAGAAAATTGTTAAAAAGTAAATAGAAAAATTTAAAAAATAATTAGCAAACTACATTACCTAAGTATATTCTCAACACACATAAACTTGTATTTTACTAAAACAAATAACTTGTTTCATTAAAATAAAATATTCTTTAGCATCACTAATAAGTGTGTAACGCTTAGGCACCACCACATAAACTATTGGAAAAGGAATTTAATTTCCATGGTTTGAAACAAAATAAAGATTTTATCTTTATTTATTATAATTTTTAACACAAATAAAAAAATTGTATTTATATCAATATAAATAGTTAAGGACTTAAAAATAAATAATTATAAAATATTAATATTCTATATTTAAGAACATTAACTAATTAATATTTTTCTTTTCTATAATTTTTTTAAGCTTTTCATTTATTTTAAATTATTATTTTATAATTCAATTTTTTTATTGAATAAAAATGATTTAGTAGATAAATTTTATATAAAATACAATAATAAATTACATAGGTATTCCTATGATAATACTTAACAACATTTATTTAAATATTTTTGTTTTATATTCAGTAAGAAGATTAAAATATAAAAATAAAAAATATATATAAAATTATACTAATTTAAAATTATGAAAAAAATAAAGTTAAAAAATAAAAAATATTTCATATATTTTTTATATAATTTAAAACTACCGAAAATACATTTGATCAAGGATATGTTTGTATATACTTGATAAAACTATATTCAAAGAGTATATTAAGGATTATAATATATCAGCACCCGGTTGAGAAAAAACGGTTTTTCCGGTACTTGGTTTAGGTTACGAATTCCAAATTTTCGGTTACGAATGGTTACTAATTAGTTACTAAAACCTAGTTTGGTTTTGAACTTCCTAAGTAGAATATTTCAATGTGCGGGTGCTGGTGTAACGTTACGCCAGCACCCGGTTGGGAAAAACGGTTTTTCCGGTACTCGGTTTAGGTTACGAATTCCAAATTTTCGGTTACGAATGGTTACTAATTAGTTACTAAAACCTAGTTTGGTTTTGAACTTCCTAAGTAGAATATTTCAATGTGCGGGTGCTGGTGTAACGTTACGCCAGCACTCGGTTGGGAAAAACGGTTTTTCCGGTACTTGGTTTAGGTTACGAATTCCAAATTTTCGGTTACGAATGGTTACTAATTAGTTACTAAATAATGGAACCGATTTTGAAGAAAATAGTTTAGGTTGTGGTGCTAGTGTAACGAACTTGGTTGGTAGTACACGTCTGAATACAGGTCGTTTCGGGCTCCCTTTTATATGAAGTTCCCCTTACCCTTTGCCTATAGATACTGTATCTCGGCACACGGATGTGATCTGGTGTGACCATCGTTCCAGCCCACGCATTTTATGACTTCCCAGTATTATTCTGCGTATTGGTAAAATGCTAATCTATGTTCCAGTTGAAATAGTCATTCTACTCTTTTATATTTTTATATTGAATATTATTGCGTACAGCGTTGTAATTAAAATAATCATTCTACTATTTTATATTTTATATTTGAACATTGTCGTATACAGGGCTTCCTGAGTAATTATATTATTCAGTGAGCCTGTCTTCGTATGTTAAACAGTAGGAAATCCTATTTCCGATTCTAATATCCGATATATGCCGAATTACAGTATAGTATACTAATTATGTACCTGTGGAATTTGTTTTATTTGTTAAGTAGTGACTCGCTTACTACAATAGTGAAATTACAATATAATTATTCAAAATAAAGTAATATAAGCTGTAAGTAATTCAAATTAAACTAAGGTATTTAATCCTAAAGACATAAGTTTTCTTTTTAATTGTAAAAAATTATTAAATTCATGAATGCAAATATTATATTTAATACAAAAATTAATAAACACAAAATATGGTCCTGACTGACAAAAAGAAGTTCTTAATTTAGGCGGTGATAAATTAATATCTTTAACAAATCGTGTGTTATAATTATGTGTAGGAGTATTAATTGTGTTAGTATATTTAAAAACAACCGCAAAAACATGTATTATATGGAGAGACTTTATATTTAAGATTTTACATTCATTATATAATAAAGTTGTTGGAAAGAGTCTTGGCTTATTGAAGATATATTTTACAAGACAATTTAATGTTGTATTTAATTTTTTAATATGAGTTTGATAAGCGTTACCCCAAAATGCTATACCATAAGACACTATTGATTGCACTAGAGATTTATAAACTATGTTTTAACATTAACAGTTAAAATATTTTTCAAACATTTAAAAACATAAAAGAATTTACGAACTGACTTTATTAAATTATCTATATGGACATTCCATTTTAAGAGTTCATCAAAATGTATACCTAGATATTTTACAGAGGATGTTTTATTTATTATAGGACAGACGCAATTATTTCCTTCTCTTTTACAAAAAATAGTGTGTAAAATTAATTTATCAAAGTTTAAGTTATTATTATTATTTTTTATTCTTAAATGTATGAAGTTGGATTTGGTAAAATTAAGTTGTAATGAATTATCCAGCCAATTCTTAATTAAATTAATACCAATATTGGCTTCATGTTTTAAGTTATTTAGACAAGAGTTACTAACAAGGAAAACCGTGTCATCAGCAAAACACAAAACCTTACCTCCTAAATTTAGGTTAAGCAAACCATTAATGTATATTATAAAAAGTAGTGGCCCAAGAACAGTCATCACTATAAACGTCATTAATTTTAACCTTTTGGTATCTATTACTAATAAATGATTCTAATAGTTTTAATGGAACTCCTCTTATACCACAGTATTCAAGTTTTTTTAACAATAAATTATGATCAACAGAATCAAATGCTTTTTTCAAGTCTAAAAATATACCAACAACATGCTTTTTTAAATCAAGATTGTCATATATAAATTTAGTAGCACAATATAATGCATCATTAGTAGATAGATTATTCCTGAAACCAAATTGATTATCATTAAAAAATTTATGTTCATTTAGGAAGTTAACAAGTCTTGTTTTAATACATTTTTCTAGAAGCTTAGCGATAGTCAAAGTAAGAGTGAATGGTCTATAATTATTACAACTTCTTATATCTTCTGTTTTATAAAGCGGAATAACTATTGATTTTTTAAAGCTAGATGGAAATTCACCTGTTGAAAAGCATTTATTGAAGATAATAGATAAGGGCAAGGATATATTAATTGATGTTTTTTTCAAAATAGTATTAGACAACAAACCTTCATAATAAGATGAAAAATCTTTACATTTCATAATCATACTGCTTATTTCCATAGGGTCAATAGGGCTTAGAAAAATTGATTTTTCAATATGGCAGTTATGATTAAGTTCCTCAAATGTTTTGTATATAAAACCATCCTCTCTAATATTTGAAGCTATATTGCTTCCAACATTAACAAAAAATGAATTAAAAATATTAGCGATATCTTTTGAGTTATTGATAATCCTACCTGATTCATGTTTGATTTCTCTAATGATTATTTGTTTATTAACTTTAGTATTAGAAGCTATTTTTATAAGATCCCACACTTTTTTAATATTATTGCCAGATAATTATATTTGTGTTTTATAGTATGCATTTCTAGCAATTTTTATTAAGTTATTTAGTATATTTCTATAAATAATATAACATTTTTTATAATGAGTATTAAAAGGTTGGCGCCTCAATTTATTATACATTTTTTCTCTTACTCTAATAGATGTAATAAGACCTAGAGAAATCCATGGTTTTAACTTGCACTTTTTATTATTATTACTTCTTTTAGTATGTTTATAAAAACTTGTATATGCTAAAATTAAATCATTTATTTTATTAATAAAAATATCAATAGAATTATCAACACTTTTATCATCTAGTAGGATATTCCAATCTTCAATTCTAATTAACATATTCAGATGTTTAAAATCAATTGTTTTAAATTCAATATTTAAATTATTGCTAGCCATAGTTTTTTGAATATTTAAATTGTCAATATTAATATTTAATATTAAACTAAAATGGTCAGTAATGCTACTACGTAACACATAAGATGATACATCTTTAATAATAACATTTTTTAAAAATAAATGATCAATACATGTATTAGAATGACTACTGATTCTGGTAGGATTATTACAAGCAGAGTAAAAATTATTGCTGTATAAGATATTCAAATAATCAACAGTTTCAATATTATTTGATAATATATCAATATTAATATCACCACACAAGATTTGATTAACATTTTGATTATATTGTGATAAATAATCATTCAGAGAAAACAAAAAATCTTCCAAAATATCATTAGGTGATCTATATAGACCGGTTAGATAAAATAGGGAATTGCCTTTATTGATACCTAGTTATTTCAATAGAATTACAATTAGATATAATATGTTTTCGGACATTTTTAATTTTACATATGTTACTTACAAATATCGATAATCCATCTGATTTATTTAGTTTGCAGAGTGAATGTATAACTGATTCATAACCGTTAATCATAAAATTAATATCTTCATTCAGCCAAGTCTCACTCAACACAATAACATCAAAACTATGATTAATAGAATTTAACAATAGTAACAGTTCATCAATATTAGCTTTCAGACTTCTAATATTCATACTAAAAATGGAAAGACTATTTACATAGAAATACTTATTTTCTAAACTATCAATATTTACGGTTTGAACGTTATTTATATCTTTTAATTCATGTAATAGGTTATTTAAATTGTTAATCATTATGAAATAAATTTACATTAAGAAATAAAGTTACATTTAAAATAATTACAATCACATCCATAACTCACTTATTTTCTTATCAGTATCTAAATCCATTAATTGATGAGAAGTAGTAATTTTAACTCCAACTTGACCATCATTTTTTCTCATATAAACACCACTCGAATTTGCCCAAGTATATTTGAAACCATATTGAGTTCCAACCAGCTTAGCCAACCAGCGAAGTTTCTTATTGTTATAGGAAAGTTGATCATTTATGAAGACTCTTTGGTTAGTGAATTTAGTTGATAAATCACAAGCAAGTAACGGTTTTTTATCAATTTTTGAACGTTTTTTCATCATATTAATAATTTCATCTTTTTTATTTTTATCTGCAAAACATATCACTACATTACTACCCGATTTTTTTGTGGTTTTAGTGCGATAGGAATTTACAACTTCATTTGATTCAACTTTTATGGTTAAAACTTTGGAAGTACTATTAACAATTACAACTAAAGATTCGTTTTCAGTTTTCGGAATGCCAGTAATTTCAATGTTGTTAGCTAAATTTTGTTGTTCTAGAGTGTTCGCATTCCTACTGAGTGATAATATTTCGCGTTCCAATATTGCACACTTTTTTTCAAGTTCGATATTTTTTTTTTCATGGGTTTTTAATTTCGACAAGATAGTCTCAAATTTCACATTAAATTCATCAACCTTAGAAGATATAAATGAAATTGATTTTTCGATTGAGTCAATTTTGTTAATTGAATCCGACAAAGTATCTAATTTGAAGGAAATGTTATTTAAATTTATTTTAATATTTTTTATGTCATCTTTATTTAAATCACTCTTATCATGGTTCCGACGATCTGGAATTATCTTCAGTATACAATTATCACATTTCCAATCTTTATTTCGAGTAGGTTTTTTTAAGCCATCTTGAGAATTAGTTATGCATGTAGAATGAAAATTCATCTTACAAATACTGCAGTTTAATAATTTGGCCGGGGAAACCCCTTGATTACAGATTGCACAGGGCATTATTACTTTATCAGAAAATTTAGTACTACAAAATATAACTATGAAGGCTAAATACGTTGTTATTATAGTAGTATGACCAATATAATGAATATAGAGATAAACATTAGATAACGGAGCACTATTACACTACAACGAAAAACACATGCTTACACGACGACAGTTAAGATTGAACTGATTATAATCATTATTACGCCTTTATTATCATCTGATATTATAATTTAGATTAGTTGGAGATTGTTTATATATTTTATGGGCAATTTTTTTTGAGAAAATTAACTGTTTTAGAGTTTTGGAAAACCATAAAGGATACTTTGTGGAGAACATACGTTTTTTTTGACATTGTACATTAATTATATCGTGTAATTTGGAGTAGAATATATCAAGTGCTTGATGTTATAAGTTTTTTGAGATAGTAGGAACATTGTTGATGTATCTAATAAATAAATTATCTTCGCCGTTATCATTAAGTTGCTTAAGTTGAGATACAATTTTATTGAAAAATTGCCGTTGTTGAGTTGTCCGATCCGATGCAATGCGAATATATTTGAAGTTAGCAGTACTAAGTAATTTACGTTTTACTTTTAAGACTTCAAAGTCATCGGATGAATTTGGTAAAGTAGTAAGCAGAGGACGTGGTTCATTTGATTGTGTGCCCAAGCGACGGACAGACACAGGATTAATTTTTAAATCAATGCTTTTGAGTATTTCATCAACAGTAAGAGTGTCAGTTAACTGATCAGGTAAAGAATTAAATTCTTGTATATTAAAAAATATTATATTATCTCGAGATTGGCGGTCCATAAGTTCAGAGTAAACTGATTCAACGTTAGCTCCAGGGGAAGCCGCAGTTTCTAAAGTTGTTATTTTGCCTTCTATCTGCTCAATTTTAGCTTTTAAGGTTTTATTTTCAGAAATAACTTCAGCTAGTTGATTTGATAGGGTATCTAATTTAGACTCAATAATAACATGCTTTTTTTCCTGGGTTTTGTTAAATTCCCGGCATGAATTAATAGAAGTAATGATTTTGTTTTGTGTAGATATAAGTTCATTCACCGTATCCAAAATTTGTTTGAGTGTCTCCTTGGTATCAAGGAAGTGGAAATTGTGAAAAGATAATCAAATGTTATGATAACAAAAAGTACTTATTCCGTAAAAGTTCAATAAAGTTAACACTAAAATAAATTATGATAACAAAAATTAATTATATCGTTAATTGAAAAGATAAAGTACTGAGAGAACCGTACGCTACGACGTCTGAATAACGAATAGAATTCGTATTAATATTATTAATAATAGTAAATGTATCAACAACTTTAAATTAGAAGGGAAGTCAAGTTCGTTGTCATGGATTTCGAATTTACCATCATGAAGAAAACAGACATTGTGCTAATATCAGGAGCAATTTCGAACAGTCTAAACAAGTGTAAGATTCGTAAGCTTGAGGGGAAACCGCTTCTCTTGCCACTTCATGAACACGTAAGGGTAATGATTAATGAAAGTTCGTGAAATACGGTTGGCAGAGAAAACTATAAAGCGGATTTTCCACAACAAGAAGACAGTGGGACGACATGTTTATCACAACTCAACAAAAGTCTGAATTCAAAATTAAATAATTTAACACCGGAATTCATAATGAATTATATTTTACGTGGAGACAAAATAAATGTAGTGGTATTGTTTGGGGGATTTTACGATAGGAATATTCTAAGTAGAATAGGTTTAGGTCACATAGAACTATTAAACACTAGATGCTATGATTTAAATTTTGATGGAAGTTTCTACATGCTCTTGGAAAAACTAAAGGGAAAAACCATCGAGAGAATATTCGAATATAATGTAGGTAGAATCCAGAAAAATGGTAGAATGTTGAATTTAACCGAAGCGCATAACGGCATCTGTACACAAAAACATAAGATAACGTACGCTCACGACCCAAAGACGGATGTGAGATTTACCAAATGCATATTCAACAAAATGGTTAGGGAATATGGGTACCAAAACTTAGTAAAACAATTTCAACCAATATAAACAATACCACATACAGAGCACCACGTTGTAAAATATAATATTTAATATAAATATGAGCGAAAAAGGCTCGAAAACGGTCGAAATTGTGCGAAAAGAGTAAATTTTCGAAAATTTCAAAAAAGAACATTTAAAGGTCCTTTTAGCCACAATTTAATCAGTTTTTTCACTATACCTAAACAAATTACATGCATATAATCAAGTGAAAAACAATTGATTATATTTATATTGGGAAAATTAATAAGAATAGACATTGATAATCTAATGTGATGCTCTTCTTTTTCTTTAATAACAAACTATTCGTGCGTTATTTTTGTAAAATGTAATTCAGGAAAACATACTCCTTAAATTAAGGTATTCTCCTTCTATCTTACAGCGTGAACATGAAAAATAACCACTATGCCCCTTTGTCTTTAGTACAAATGACTTCGCTGGAACATCATAACAAAAAACATCCAATATAATTTTAACTTTACAGACAACGCCTAATTTGTTTATAAGCTCCAGGCCATTTAATAATAAATCACGAATTTCATTGTAAAAATCAATTAAAAATGCATTACTATCTAAGGGTTTTGCGTTGCCCCAATATAAGCCAATTGGAAACACTGATTGGGAATTAGGTCGTATGTAACATAAAATAGGCCAAAATAGTAGTATATTATAAGAGACAGTTCAGAAGGCGTATCCCCTGATCCCCTGATCCTTGCTGATCCTAGCTGATCCTTGCTGATCCTTGCTATCACCGCCGCCCGATCGCGCACGTGCGCGACGTATATTTTACCCCACCCCGTCCTTGCTCATCTTTGCTCGTCATCGTATAGCGCATGCGTACAACATAAAGTCTCTTATCTAACAGTCACATAATACTATATTATTGTACACACCATATTATTGTGTATATTTCGTGCATATTATTGTAAACTTTTTTTCATTAAATAAATATTGAAAAAAAGATTGATGGGTTTCGAACCCTCGACCCCCGAGCTATAGCACTGACGCTTTTACCCATTAGGCCACAGACCTGATATTCTGCTGTTATGATTCTTAATGTATATAGCTGTATGAATATTATTGTACACATTTCGATGTAATAACTTTATGTATCAAAGACTTATGCTTCACGTTATTACGAAAAAATGTAACATTCAGTTCTGGTTATGTATGCATCTCTTTAGAGGCTTCATCGAACGACCGTTTTGTATATTTTATACAGGCAACGACGTGTGTGTCCCGAGTCCCGACATAGCCTAACTATTGTTAACATTCTTCAACAAGGGTTGTGACTATACCCCTTTGTATATGTTATACAGGCAACGACGTGTTTGTCCCGACATACCCTAGTTATTGTTAACAATGACATTCTTCAACAAGGGTCGAGACTAAACATGTTCAACCCTTTGTATATTTTTAACCTTAAATTTCTGTCACCATAACGTTCTATAGCGAGACATGTGTTGAACATACCCTATCATACCCTAACATACCCTAGTTATTGTTAACAATGACATTCTTCAACAAGGGTTGAGACTAAACATGTTCAACCCTTTGTATATTTTTAACCTTAAATTTGTGTCGCCATAACGTTCTATAGCGAGACATGTGTTGGACATACCCTATCTATTGTTAACATTCTTCAACAACAATATACATGTATACCCCTTTTTATATTTTAACCCTTGACCACCTGCACCTTTTACCCCTACCTAATAATGTTTCCCCCACCGAATAATGACTCAAATCATCAGACGCTTGACCCTGCAAGAGCGGACATTTATTCAGTGTGTTCTGAGTCTTATGCTATACTGCACGTACATTTTTATTTCTTGGGAGTGTTTATATTTTTTCAAGTCTTAATAAATTTTCAGTGTTTATTTTTATAAGTTTTTAACATAGCCGGTTCAATCGCAGATAATATTGCCTTATACAAGAAAAAATCCTTCGTATATGTACCTCCGACTACACCTTCAGATCTATTTGATTCTACTAGCATTACAATAGATTTCACGGCTAGAAAATTTATACAGATCGGTCTTGATCCTACTTCAGAAAAGTCATTATACGTATATTAACTCCATCCCGGTATGTACATATAACGTATTATACTTTAAAACGTTTATTTACACTGATGGGAAATATCCTATCGTTAATATTATCCACGCCTGAAACTTATAAACGAACCGTATTTCACGAAACGGAAACAGAAAAAATATCTAGTATGGTTTACGGAGGAGAAAATGTTCTAGTAGTTGAGTCGAAAAATCGAGAAGGATGCAGAGTACTTTTAAGTCGCTTGGAGCTTATTCGTCTTCAATATTTGGAAGGCACTATTTTTGAAATCTTTCACCGGACGGGGTCATAATATACCAGTACATTGTTTTCAAAACAAGTTAGAGGGTATGTCATGTTCTTGGAAGAAAAATTTAGCCAGATGCAATCACCTCCAGTAAATGAAGAAGAGATAAAAATGTTCATAAATAAGAATACTGACTACCAGATCGTTCAATCGGAGCCAATCTTAACCAGTCAAATTCAGTTATTAGCTGCTGCGCATGTAGCTGGCATTTGGATAGAAATAAAGGCTCGAAACGCTCCATTGGTAATTTTAAAATATATTATTATATTTAAAAAATGTTAATTTCAATTTTTATTTTAGTTATTTGACGGAGAACACGCTATGGATTCACCAAGGTCTCCAAGTTATTCGCCATTACCTACTGAACATACATTTAATCATGCGGAAGATAATTTTCTATATAAGGTAATTTATTGAATATTTTTTAAATTAAAAACAATATTACTTTTATTTTATTTATTACAGCCGATAGACCATATTGATGGTCCAGTGCCGCTCGATAGCCAACAACAGTCGTTCGATGAAAATGATGGGCCTGATTTTTTCAATCTAG